CTTTCGCATGATGTATTCTGCATATAAGTTAAATAAGCAGGGGGACAATATACAGCCTTGTTGTACTCCTTTCCCAATTTTGAACCAATCAGTTATTCCATATCCAGTTCTAAACTGTTGCTTCCTGTCCCACATCTAGGTTTATCAGGAGATAGATAAGGTGGTCAGGCACTCCCATTTCTTTAAGAACTTGCCATAGTTTGCTGTGGTCCACACAGTCAAAGACTTTTGCATAGTCAATGAAGCAGAAGTACTGTACATATTTTTCTGGAATTCTCTGGCTTTCTCCATAGTCAAGTGCATGTTAGCAATCTGGTCTCTAGTTCCTCTGCCCCTTCAGAATCCAGCTTGTACTTCTGGGCATTCTCGGTCCACATACTGCTGAAGCCTGCCTTGGAGGATTTTGAGCATAACCTTCCTAGCGTGTGAAATGAGTGCAATTGTATGATAGTTGGAGCATTCTTTGGCACTGCCCTTCTTTGGGATTGGGATGTAGACCGATCTTTTCCAGTCCTCTGGCCACTGTTGAGTTTTCCAAACTTGCTGGCATATTGAATGTAGCACCTTAACAGCGTCATCTTTTAAGATTATAAATAGTTCAACTGGAATATCATCACCTCCACTGGCCTTGTTGTTAGCCAGGCTTTCTAAGGCCCATTTGACTTCACTCTCCAGGATGTCTGGCTCAAGGTCAGCAACTACTGTACATTATCTGGGTTGCCTGGGATATCCAAACCTTTCTGGTATAATTCCTCTGCGTATTCTTGCCACCTCTTCTTGATGTCTTCTGCTTTTGTTAAGTCCCTCCCATTTTTGTCCTTTATCATGTCCATAAATACAGTACAGTACTGTAATCATTATCCAGTACATAAAGTTAATGCAGTAAACTCTCTTGTTCTCTCTCTCTCTCTCTCTCTGTGTGTGTGTGTGTGTGTGAAACCAACTGTTTATGCTTTGTAGTTATGTTTTGGGAGGCATAAGAGTTATACATGGTTTTTGAACTATGCAGTTTTGTGCCCCTAACTCCAATGTTGTTGAAAAGTAAAGTATAATATAAAACTGATAGACTGAGATAAGTCTTCGCACATGGTGTCCTTGGAAGCTTATGCCATAATAAAAGTACTTGTCCTTTTAAGGAACTGCAGGAAATCTTTGGGTTTTTGTGGTGTTTTTGCTGTTTTTAACAGCATGCGCATATGTGCTCACGTACGCGCACACACAAGATTCTCAAGCAATACCTTCTTCAGTCAGGTGGAGAAGAAGGTCAGTGCACAAGAATTCACCAGCAGAAAACCTTGTTAATAGGCCTCTAACAGTGATTCGTTGCTTTATTGGATGAATGGGTTGGGAATGTCTTCGATCTGGGCTGGGAGAGAGAGGAGAATGGGAAGCAGAGAGAAGCTAAAACAAGGGAGGGACAGTAGAGAGAGAAGAAAAGGAAGAGGGTGGTAAGGAGAGAAATAAAGGTCAGGCTCTCTTACTGTTACCTCTGGCCACTTTATAAATTACATTACCCACTATCCCACAGAAAAAAATAAAACATCACTGAAGACAAGTAAAATGATCAAACTAATGGTTCCCAAACTGTGTGCTGGGGTGCTCCAGTATGCAGCCAAACACAGCCAGGGGCACTGCACCCAGGCTGGCTGGCAGGCTACCTGTGTCCCCCTCCCTCCCTCCCTCCCTTCCTCAGAACCAGTGCCACAATTTTCTGTCTCCCCACTCAAAAATAATCTCAGAGCCCAGCTTCAGATGCCTCCTGCCTGGTCCCCCAAGTTCTGTCCACAGAGGAGCCCTTGGGCATTTTCAGGCTTCCCACTTCCACCCTTGGGATGGCAGGTCCTGTCCCCTTGAACTCTCCCTCTCCCCTTTTCTCTCTCCCCCTTCTCTTTCCTCCCTGTGCTTGGCTTCGTCCTCAAGCAAGACCTTCCACCCCCCACCCCGTTCCCCTTCCTCTTCTCCCTTTCCCACATTTGTTCCTCCCCATAACTTCCTTCTTTTCCTTCTCTTTTTCCTCCTCCTCACTTCTCTTCCCCCTCTTTACTGCCTCTACCAACCCTCCGTCCATCACGTCCATCACGTAAGAGGAGGGGAAGAGGGAATGGGGCATTCTCACCAGCCCCTTGGTCAGCATGACTTCTCCTCTCCACTCCAAAGAGGAGGAGGAGGGGGAAAGAGGAGGAGGAAAGAGAAGAGGAAGGCACCAGCCGAAAGAACAGCACTGCACCAGTGGGGGAAAGGGGGGGGAGAGAACCAGGACCCCCTGCTCTTCCCCTCCCTCCTCCCCTCCCTCCGCCAAGGTAAACGTGATTTTTTTTTTCCTAGTTGAAGGTTGGGACTGAGAGTCGCCATCACCTTCCTGTTTTGGTACTGGGTGGTACAGTGCCTTGCCTGGCAGAAGACTCGCACGTGTTCCAGGGGAAAGGGTGATGCAGATACCGTTCTCTTCCTCCATATTTATGTGTCTTATCCTTGCCATCATTGCCTTTGTACTGGTGAAGACTTCTTTCTCCCAATGCGGGAGAGGAAGTTATATTTCTTGTTCCACCCAGGCAACAGATCTGAGCCCAGTCTAAATGAATGGAGTTTGTAATCTGTTTTAAAATTTACAAAATATTGTATTGAGGAGCTACGACCAGCCGCCAGTAAGTGATGGGGGCCGATTCCAGGACTGAAGGGGGTGGGAGGGAATTAATGTACAGCTAGGAGGCTAACTGTGAACTAACCATGACTCCCACCTATATCTAGGTAGCCTTACAACCGGTTCTATGCATTTGAACAGTTTCTTTCTCCAGTCAGTTTTCACCTACAAAGTTTCTGCCTGTTTGGCCATTGTTAAAAAAAATACAGAAGTGGGGTCTAAAATGAGGGACAACTCTCTACTCATTTTTTAAAAATAGGGTATCCAGATGCAAAAGAAGTTCTGTACATGTCATGGCCATACAGAAAAGTAAAATCAACAGAATTACATTGTAGGGCAAGCTTCACCTGCTCAAATCCCTGCTTCTGCACGGCTATGAGAAAGTGCCAGAGATGTGCCTCTATTATTTTACCTGGAGGCCCTATTTGGGTTTCCAGTTGATTGGAGAGCAGGGAGGGGGAAGACAGCACAGAAGCAGAAATTTTTTACAGCAAAGAAAGGATACTGTGTTAATGTCTGTAAAGCAAGCTGCTCTGAAAAGCTCAAGAGACAGTAGCTGGCATTGGAAGCAGATGGTCCTAACACTCGACCCCTCTTGTGAGAAACGGATGCTGAAAGGCAACCCCAAACTCCATGCAGTTACAAAGCTTCAGAACACCACAAGCCAGCCAAATATACATTTTAAAACTTTGAACATAAATGCCAGTAGGTCAAAAGAGAGAAAGTGACTTACTATGGGAAGATGAGTTCAAGGTGCCAGCGACCCAAAGAGAATACCCAATGTCCACAGATCTTAGGGCTTCCAAGCCTATTCAAGACCTACGTATTTATAAAGAATTTCTGTGCCTGGCAGAAGGAGGAGAAGAAAACTCCCACATTTCTTAACTCCTCAAAGTCACTTCCTCTTTATCCGGAGGCTCGTAAATGCCAAGTGGACGGACCTGTGTGTACTCACCACGCTAGGAAGACACATTCATGCGCTGACACTGGCTCTCACCCACAGAAGCTCCCAGCAGATATTTAAGCAAGGATGTTAAAAAAAGAGAATTAAACATTAACACTAAATGCCCCGGGGCAAAGCGGGGAGTGGGTGGGGTGGGGGAGAGTGAGAAGAAATGCTCCAAGACAGAAGAACTGAATGAGGCAACTCAACACTCAGGTCGGGACATTTCATCATCACGTGCCCATTTATGGAACCATCACCTCAACAGTGGTGTCCAGATGTAGACTGCAGATGTTGTTGGACTTCAGTTCCCAGAATCCTTGTTCATTGGCTTTGCTGGCCAGAGCTCCTGGAAATTGCAGTCCAATAACACCTATGCTTAGGAACAACAAAGTTGGAGAATTAAGGATTCTGAGCATGGAATAAAGAATAGAGAGTAGAACCAACGTAAGGTTGGCAAAGGTGTCAGGGTATTAGTAATAATTTGGTACTTCTCTTAATAGTCTTTCATGGAACAGAGTTGCTCTTATTTCCTCCTTTGTTATGCTTACAGCAGCTAACAGCATATCTTCCAGGAGGGAAAAACATCTTGAAGTATGACAACTTTCCTAGTTTTGTTCCAGGAGCATTGCATTAGATTGAACAGCAGCAAAGTGTATTGAAAGCATTGTACCATTATTTCTCAAATACCAACAGGTGGAGCTGTTGCTTCATTTACTCATCCAGTAAAATGGCAAAAGCACAGGCGTGAATAAGGCCAAGAACTGACATTTAAATTGCCATATTGTCAACATATCCCGCACACCAATGAGGCTACTGTCAGTTCATAGTGGAAAGAATTGTGGAGGAAATACATACAATGGCAGCCAAAAACAAGTTGTGGTAGACAGCACTTGTAAATAAATAAAACTATGTGAAATAAATAAAACTAAACAACAAAGCGTATCAAAGAAGTAAATAGGGGAATGCAAGAATTTGGGATTAATTTGTTCCCAAACTGAATGACTGAGCAAATATTATCAATACCACACACACACAAAGCCTAGTGAGAGAAACATCCAAAGAATATCATAAACAAAGCTTAGGAAGCAAAATAACTTTCGGGAAGGCTTTCACGGCTGGAATCTAATGGTTGTTGTGGGTTTTCGGGCTCTTTGGCCGTGTTCTGAAGGTTGTTCGTCCTAAAGTTTCACCAGTCTCTGTGGCCGGCATCTT